AAGGGGCAAGTGGTGCGTGGAAGTAGTGGGAGTGCAAACTGTGGAACGGAAAAATGAGAGACGATAATCACCTGCTACTTGTGTGAACTCCACTTGCCGTGTTGTATCGGGATCCATGGTGTACTCAAACCTGCAGCCCATAAGGAAGTAGAAGCGATAAAATCAGACATGCTGTGGGTGCCTGAAAAGCTCAGAGTCCCAGAAATCCCCAAGCGCAGCGCACACAGAAAATCTAAAGCTCTCAATCCACTCACTTGTTGCTGAAGCACACTTTCAGCTCCCTCGAGGTCGTTTTAGTCGCATCCACCAATACAGTCACAATCTCTGTCTTGCGCGTGCTCACAAGCAGGCAGTCAAACTCCTTGGGGACCATCAGCGCCAGGAAGTTATCCGCCAGCTCAGACAGATACAGCGACTCAATAATGTCCAATGGGATGCGCCGCTTCAGCCTGAAAGTGTCTCGCTCAATAATGTAGACCGCCTTTTCTGTCACCACTAGCAGTCGCGGAACGATTCTATTGTGCCGGTTCACCTTGGCGACCGTGTCGGCGAAAATGACGCTCTGGTCGCCTGCGACGCCGTGCGAAGGCAATGTTTTTCATGCATGCACAGAATTCCAATGATCGGAAGGGTGAGAGGCAGGAGGATGCACGATGGGGAGATGCGGATGGGATACATATGCTAAGGCGCTGATGGAATGAGGGAACAATGTTGGTATGCAGCAGGTCAGGGCGTGCGAGAGTTAGAATAAGGCAGCCGGGAATGCAGAGTCGAGAGTAACAAGGACAAAAGAACAGGCAAGTTGGAGCTTTCGCAAAATGGAACCTTGATAACGCTGGAGCTCTCGCATCTTACGTGGTCCACCTTGCTTCCGCACCACCTGCGCCAATTAACCGTGTTTCCATAACATGCTCCGAGCGCGTCGCCCAACTGCGGTCGAACCTTCTTTGTCCGCACTATCTCCTAATTAGTCCTACCTTGCTTCCGCAGCATCTTAAGGATCGCATGGTTCTCGTCGGCGAGCTGAAGATAGTCGCCTTGAAACACCTTGTGCGTCGCCGCGCGACGTCGCACGCGAACGAAGCCTGCCGAGCCTGTCCCCGACCCAGACCTAAGCGAGCCGCCGTCCGGGCCTCCAGCTCCGTTGCTTAGACCCAAGGTCCATGGTCTGCGGTCCAGCTGATGCGAGAAACGGAGCCTATATTGGACCTGACGTGTCCTAGAATTCGATGATTATGCTTGTAGGTGAAGCACACAGGTGGAGCGGAAGCGGCAAATACGGGTAAGTAGTGAAGGCTGGTTGATGCGGAAGAGTCGTACTTGTCAACAGACAGTCCGTGGATGGGGTATGAACGAACACTAAGAAGAATTTGAAGAGTGCATGGAGGAAGCTTGATGTACCATATATGCCATCTCCGTAAAAGTTTCTGCCATCATGCAACTCAAATATGTTCAAATACGGTACTCAGTTTTGGAATCTAAGCTGCCATTACAAACAGCAGGCTATAACATCTACCAGCACAAGTGTTGTCAATCTTGTCGCATGCATGCTGCTAAACACTACATTTCAAATATTCTAATTGTACCACAAGGGCCTTAAAATCCATCCTTAGAAGATGCCCCCCATCATACCACCCATTGGCAGCTCTGGCACCAACAATTACTTGCTCTGAAAGCACGCCCCTTCCCCGACCACTTTCAGCGGGCTCCACCTCCTTCCACCACCACTCTCCACCTCCTTCCACCACTCTCCACCACCACACCAGAGGGGGGCTGAGGAGCGACCCTGAGAACTGAAGCCTCACCGACGTAGCAAGAGGGGAGCCACACCAGACCCCCGGCCGCAGGGTCTGGTGATCGTCCATTATGCCTTAAACGTGCGGCTATTGGAATTCAGACTCAAGGCCTCCCCCGAACCACCACTTGCCAAAGGAGCGAGTGCAGCAGTGCTGAAAGGAGCGAGTGCAGCAGTGCTGAAAGGAGCGAGTGCAGCAGTGCTGAAAGGAGCGAGTGCAGCAGTGCTGAAAGCAAGGACGTGAATAGCAGAAAAACAAAAGGCTCAATGAGAAGGGCCAGTGTGAGTACTTAGCTGCGTTGAGATGAGGTGCAGCTGGGCGAGGTGCAGCTGGGCGAGGTGCAACAGCTGCGCTCCTCCCCCTGCATGCTTCTGCTCGCCCTGGCGCTCTGGGAGGGGCGTATTAGGGGGATGGGGAAGGAAGGAAGGAGGGAGGGAGGGAGGGAGGGAGGGAGGGAGGGAGGGAGGGAGGGAGGGAGGGAGGGAGGGAGGGAGGGAGGGAGGGAGGGAGGGAGGGAGGGAGGGAGGGAGGGAGGAGGGAGGGAGGAGGGAGGGAGGGAGTGAGTGGAAAGTGGAAGCAGATTCTGACAAGTCAAGGGTGCAGACGAGACTGCATGCCATGCACGACCTAGCCAGCTGTAGCACACCCGAAGGAAGGGAGGGGGACCTGAACCTCAACACCATACCAAGGGACCTGCACCTGCACTGGGACACCTGGTGACCTATACTTCAAAAAAAAGGAGGGGGACTTGGGTGTGCCACAGACAGCTGGAGCAACGAGGGCAGCAAGGAAGACAAGACATGCATGCGAAACGACAAGCGGGAAAATGAGGCAGAGGGAGAGAGGCTGGTGGAGCGGTACGTATCTTTTCATCAGTCTGTAATGGTTGAGTGATGGGAAGTCCAAGACCACCAGCTGCTCCCTCTGCTGCTCCCTCTGCTGCTCCCTCTGCTGCTCCCTCTGCTTCTCCCTCTGCTGCTCCCTCTGTGTCCGACGTCCCTTGAGAAGCGTTCGCCAGGCAAAGCGTCCTTCCTCCTCGCAGGGCACTGAGATGGTCGGGAGGGAGAGCGCGCGGGAGGGGGAGGGGGGATAGTGGGTGGGATTAGAATGATCTGCACAGAATCAAACGAAGAGTCAGATAAGTATCCAATAACGTAAAAATAACGAATCTCGAAAATAGAAACTTGAATAGCTTCCGAAAAAAAAATAGAAACAGGAACACTTACTATTTACACTTGGAGTCGCTGCGATGATCTTCTTCTTGCGAGCTTTCGCTGCGTCGAAGCAATCGGCTCGGCAGCAATAAGACTCCTCGCGTTCGCGTCTCGTTGAAAGGAAGAAGCAGTGCTCCAAAGTGCTCCGAGCTGTTCCTAGGTGTTCCAAAGTTGTTCTGATACTGGACGGACCGAAGCCTGAATGTGGTGACTGAATAACGGAAAATGGAGTCTGAATGTTGGCTCACGGCTGAAAGTTGGAAAATGGAGAGAAAACGGGGACGAGGGGCGAATATGCAGAGGTGCGAATGAGGCGCGACGGGTGGGAAATGGGAAGGTGACGGGCGAACGTAGGGAGGGATGGTTGGCGCTGGCTGGGGAGAGAATGTGGCAAGAACCGAGCCACAAAAGTAGATCAACGGGTCTGAATCGTTGCGGATATGAAACAAAAGAACGAGCGTCACTGGCGCCAAAGTGAGCCAGAACCGTTGGGAACCAAAACCGGGAAGAAACGAAATCTGATTTGTTGAAAATGGGGAACACCAGTGTTCGAGCCGCTAATTGCTGAACTAGAGTTTCGAAACCTGCTTTCTCGCCGCCTAGGGTTTCGGGTTGGAGGTAGGACAACACGAACTGGCAAGGAGCTGAGATCCAGTCTCAGGGACCACCAAACCCTAGCTTCAGCCTGGAAGGAAGAAACGAAATTGAATCCTTCAGCAAATGCTGTCAGGGGATTTGGGCCGCTTTCAGGCAACCCCCGCTGGTGTTGAGGTAGGTGCTTTTTGGAGGAATTTCTCCTGCAAAAGAAATGTTTTTGAATCTCTATGGAAGCAGTCCGAGGTTCTGAAAGATTTCTGAAATCAGTACTGATTGGAGGTTGTGCCGGTGCAACCGCTTATTGAAAAGCATTTCTTCTGAAACTTTAGCGTCTCTCAGCTTAGGCCATTCGGTTTCACGGAGTCTTCAACACAGGCAAACATCGCCGTGTGAAAATCGCACTGAACTACGTTGTAATTTTCCTCGAGCAAATCAGCAATGAGTCTTCACACGATGTACAGGTTTGTGCATCCAAACCTGCGATACAGCCGACAAACCAAACCTCCAGACCTATGCTCCCCTTCGTCAACTCCCCATAACTTTTTCCTCAGTGCCGTGCTCGCACGTACTGATTTGTCGAGGCAGCTTCGTCGGCTCGTTGTAGGTTTGGCACCGTCATCTGTGGTCTGGTGTAACCAGGTGACTTCACTGGCACAGAGTAACTGGCTCGGTAGGGCAGGTGTGATGCCATAGATCGGTTCGGCGTTTTCCTGTGTAATAGAAAGAGGTGGTATGCGTTCCAGCCTCTATGTCCGCGTCCACTGGAGAGGGCAATTTCAAGGGACTGGCTTCGGGCTTTGTTTTGCGCGTCCTGCTTTGCAGTGCTCGGTGCTTCTCATGTTCAAGTCACTAGGCGTTTACTCCAGTAGAACGTATTTATAGTGGTGGCCAGACAGTTGCACTAGACTTCTAACATAGGCTCTTCGTGCCTGCCAATAGCTTGATCGACCTCCAACTACTTTCTGCGTACAGCTAACTATCGATAAACTTATGTGCGATCATCTGCAATTGCACACAGCTGCTAACACGTCACTATATTCCAGGCTGGCTGGCTTCTCCCTTAATAACAATTTGACGCTGAACCATTCGCTGTCGCTTCCCTTTCCCGTTTTGCGATGAGCAAGTGGCAAGCATAATAAATTAAACGACATAGCTTCTATCACAATTGGTCGCTCATGCCGCCCGCGCGACGCCTACCAGAACTCCATATGCGTTCGCTTAGAATCAGTGCCTGATGCACCATGAGTGACCGTATCGAGTTTAGTATCAATCACCGACGTCGCGGCGGTTCCACATGGCTCGGGTGTATCAGAAGTGGAAAGGAGACAATGTGAGCCGTCTCGCACTTCTATCTGCCCCTCTAGTTCATCCATTTTGCTTGAACTCGAACGTTATGTCGATTTCAATCCATACGGTATCGCGGCTTCCTTTCGGCTCACTTAACTTGACTCGCGTGATTTTCCTTATTCAAAACGGACCTTCCTTCATGGCCGCACCCTCTCGTCTCTCCCTTGACTACCCCCTCTATCTCTCCACATCCCTTTCACTCTCTCCACTCGCGTCCATCCCTCCGCGCGCGTCCCACTTTCACTCACACCATCCCCGCCTGCCAACCACGCCAGAAGTTCTTCCTGCGGGCCCTGTGCGTGTTCGGGCCGGACGTGCGCTCGCTGGTCGTGTCCGTGTGCCTCATCACCATCCTTCCACTTTCCCTCAACCATCCCCACCCGCCAACCACACCAGAAGTTCTTCCTGTGGGGGTTGTGCGTGTTCGGCCCGGACGTGCGCTCGCTGCTCGTGTCCGTGTGCCTCATCACCATCCCCGGCGCGCTCTTCTGCGTCTTCGTCGCGTACCAGCTCATCGACAAGATGTGGGGCGGCATCGCCGTGCTGCCCGCCGCCATCTCGCTCATCACATGGGTGCGTCGCGTCGCTCACGTGGCTACATGCGTCGCATGCGTCATGCTGTACGCGTCGCTCGTAACATGGGTGCATCGCTCATCTCATGGGTCATGCCTTCCTTCCGTCCACACCTTATCCCGCCTTCTGGCGCACTTCAAGTCCTCTACCCTCCCCGCCTCCCTCCCTCTCCCCCCCCCCCCTCCCCCCCACACACCAGGACCTGTACATTCTGCTCTTCACGGCCTGCCGCGACCCGGGCATCGTCCCGCGCAACCCAACTGCGCCAGCGGGGAAGGTTCCGCGCAGCCGCGAGGTGGTGGTGAACGGCGTGGCGGTGAAGGTGAAGTGGTGCGACTCGTGCCTGCTGTACCGCCCGCCGCGCTGCTCGCACTGCTCCATCTGCGACAACTGCATTGACCGCTTCGACCACCACTGCCCCTGGGTGGGCCAGTGCATCGGCCGGGTGAGAAGGAGGGTGCATCGGCCGGGTGAGGGAAGAGTGCGTTGAGTGTGGGGGGGGCGTGTAGTTGTTGTTGTGACAAGTCCTGCTCCACTTCTGCATTGCCCCTCCGCCCTGCCTTCCCATCTCCTTCCTTTTCGCACAATTCACTGTCCCCTGCTCCCCCTCCCCCCACCCAACCTATTCTCTTCACTTCCCAACACCCCCTCTCCCCTTCCTCCCTCCCCCCCATCCCCCCCCTCCTCAACAGCGCAACTACCGGTTCTTCTTCACATTCATCCTCTCCACCACGGCGCTCTGCATATTCGTCTTCGCCTTCTCAGCATACCTCATCAACCAGCTAATGTTCAACGCACACGACCCGGCAGCCGGCACGCAGACCGTGTGGCAGGCCATGGGGCAGGCGCCCGTGGCCGTGGTGCTCATGGGGTTCACCTTCCTCGCAGTGTGGTTCGTGGGGGGGCTGTCAGGCTTCCACACCTACCTCATGTGCCGCAACCAGGTCAGTCCGCAGCTATACCAGCTAGGGCACGGTGTGGCAGGCCATGGGGCAGGCGCCCGTGGCTGTGGTGCCCATGGCCATCTGGTTTGCGGGGGGGGGCTTTAGGGCTTCCTCATGTACCTCATGTGCCGCAACCAGGTGGGTTAGCTGCTCACAGATACGAGCTCCTTACTTGCCCCCACCAGTGCCACTTGCATCTCCCTCTCTGCACGCAGCGCACACTTTATCTCAATGTCACGCCCTTCGCTTCCTTCTTTCTGTGCTTCTCTCCCCCATCCACCCCATCACCCTCTCCCCTTTCCCCTCCCCTACCCTCAACTCCCCTCCCCTCCCCTCCCCTCCCCTCGCCTCGCCTCGCCTCGCCTCCCCTCGCCTCCCCTCCACTCCCGCACCCTCTCCCCCTGGGGCGACGGCACCAGACCACGTATGAGAACTTCCGGTGGCGCTACGACAAGAAGCCTAACCCCTACAGCCGCGGCTGCTTCAACAACGTTGGCGAAGCCCTCTGCTCCGAAATTCCCCCCTCCCGAACCAACTTCCGAGCCAAGGCTACCGAAGCTGAGTTCGCCATCTCCGAGCCGCATCTCACGGAGCCTGACCCCCCGCCTGGCTCGTTATCAGCCTCGGTGGACCCCAAGCGCACCCGAAGCTTGCTGCCAGGCTCGGGAGGATCGAAAGGTTCGCGAGGCTCGAAGGGGTCTTCGTTTGGGGGGTGCTCGCCAGGTCAGCAGCAGGTGTACGACGTTTCTGAAGAGATGTCGCTGCGGGGAGGGAGGCCAGGAGGGGTGGATGAGGAGGAGGATGAGGAGGAGTTTGAGTCGATGGAAGAAGGTAGGTTGATGGGGAAAGGAGGGAGGGAATACGAGAAAGGGAAGGGACGAGTGGAAGACACAGACGAGGAGGAGGAGGAGGAGGAGGAGGAGGAGGAGGAGGGGGAGGATGATGATGATGAGTATGATGATGAGGATGATGATGATGAAAATGATGATGATGGTGATGATGATTATGATGACGATGATGACGATGATGACGATGATGACGAGGAGGTTCAGACAGCTCTGCCTCTGCCACCTGGCAGGCAGCCATTGGTTGCACAAGGTCCAAGTGGGAGAGGGAGAGCAGGAGGAACAGGGGGAGCAGGGGGCGCAGGGGGGAGAGGGGGAGGAGGAAAGGGATCAAGGAGCGGAGGTGGCTCGGGCAAGGGCTGGCAGAAGAGGGACGCGTGGCAGAGTGACGATGACATGTGAGGCAGGTGAAAGTGCGCTGTGTGGAGTGTGTGTGGAGTTTCTGTGAGGAGTTTGAGTGAGGTAGTGCAGGGACAGCAGATGTATGCTTGCGTGGAGCATGCAGGAGTGCACTGGGCTCATGGGAAGGCCAGAGGAGAAGGCAGCAAGTGGGATGGATCCAGAGGCAGTGCTGGTCAAGGTGTTACTTCCTCTCCCATCCGTGGCTCCAGTTAAGGTGCTAAGTTATCAACCCCAGCTAACCCCAACTAACCTCAGCTAACTGGCAGGTGTATCGCTGCCTGGCTTAGCACAGCATGGCAGCTAGAATGATGCAGCCCTGTTCCTGTAGTGGTATTTGTTGTTGCAAGTTTGTACTTGTTTTGCAAATTCTGTTGATATTTAATGGATCTTTTTGTTTCAGGCCCTTTTGGAATGATTTCAATTTCAATTTCTTGAGGTAAAGGGGACAAAACAAGATGGCTGAATAAGCTCTATGGCATTGCAGGCATACCGGTACAGCTGCGACATCTGGAAGTGTTACAGTGAATAATGTCAAATGTTGTAGTCTTAGTGATGTGTGTTATAGGGGGTACAACTGTTAGGGTTAGGTTTATGTACCCCAACCAACCTTAGTCAAACCAACACTTACATTCTTCACATGGTATCACCTAGGTTAAGATCCTGTGGGATCCCGTTCCTCTCGTTCACGTCCGTAGCGCCCGAGCCTGTCCCGTACCCTAGTGCCCGTTACGCCCGTACTGTCCCCTAGCGCCTATCGCGCTCGCCTCTCTCGTGCCCTAGCGCCCGCTGCGCCTGCCGTCACATCGCCCCTGCTGTCCCGTCCCGTCGCCCCTGCCGCCGCGTCGCCCCTGCTGTCCCGTCCCGTCCCGTCGCCCCTGCTGTCCCGTCGCGTCGCCCCCTGCTGTCCCGTCGTGTTGCGCCTGTCCCTTCTGTCCCGCCGCGTCGCGCCGTCCGTCCCGTCCGCGTCGCGCTTCCCGTCCTGTCCCATCGCACGCGCCCCGTGCGCCCTGCCCGTCCGTCGCGCCCCGTGCGCCCTGCCCGTCCGTCGCGCCCCCGCTGCGCCCTGCCCGTCCGTCGCGCCTTGTGCGCCCTGCCCGTCCGTCGCGCCCCGTGCGCCCTGCCCGTCCGTCGCGCCCCGTGCGCCCTGCCCGTCCGCGCCTGTCGCGCCCGTCCCTGCCAGTCGCGTCCTGTCCCGTCGCGTCGCACTGTCTGTCACACCCTACGCAGGCCCTTTAGGCATTTAGGGTTTCGGCAGCAGCAGTATCCACCTCTACGCTTCCGCTATGGCGACCCCTAGGGTCCTGCGCTTTGACGCTGAGGGTAGGCCGCTCGAGTTCTCGGTCTGGCTCCTGCGTGCGTGCCGCCTCCTAGAGAGCCAGGTTCAAGCACACGAGACTCTGTGGGCGCACGCTTCCGGTGACCTACCTGAGCCCGCTGACCCTGCACCCTTTGCAGCTGACCCCACACCTGCAGACAGTGACCGTTATGCACGCGAGCGCGCTGATGTGACAGCGTGGAAGTCGCGTGACGCTGCGGCCTGCATCGCCCTCAGCAGCATCCTCCCTGAGTCTGAGGAGACCCACTTCACTCAGGTTCGCACGGCTAGTGAGTTCCTGACTGCGATCAAGGCCCGCTACACTACTCCCACCACTATCTCTCTTGGTCGCTTGTTCCTTCCGTTCCTGTTTCCGGACCTCGCCTCGTTTGAGCGCACTGCTGACTTGATCACTCATCTGCGCTCGCTCGATTCTAGCTACCGCGCTGCTTGCACTGACGCACAGCTTGCACTGACGCACAGCTTGCACTGACGCACAGCTTGCACTGCTCCCTCCCCCCATGGCGATTACTATCCATTTCATCGCCACTAACCTCCCTGACCGCCTTGCCTTGGTTCGTGACGCGCTTTTTCTTAAGCACCCTAGCGAGCTCACTATCGAGGTCCTTGAGTCGGCCCTCAAGGACGTCGAGAGCAACCTCCGCTCAGTAGCCTCTGCCTCTGGTGTTGTGCCCCCTCCACTGTTCTACAGGTGCACTGTCCCTCAGCTGCCCACCTTTACTCCCTCCCTCGCCACTGCCGCTACTGACGTGACCGCACCTGCTGTTACGACTTCTTCGCAGTCTTGGGGTAGGAGTGGCAGGATGGGCAGTCAGGGTGCGGGCAGAGGCGGCGGAGGCGGTGGGGGTGACGTGGCGAGCGGCGGCGGTGGGAGTGCAGGGGCTGGAAGAGCGCCTCGTGCAGCGGCCGTTGACTCCCCTGCTGCAGCTGGTGGAGGTGACGTCCGGGTTAGTCAGCCACCTACTGGTTTGCCAGCCGCATGGGGTGGAGCAACGGCATGGTACCTGACTCAGCGACATCAGCAGCAGTAGCAGCAGCCCCTCCCCTCGTAGCAGCCACAGCACCAGCAGCGGCAGCAGTAGGTTTCGGGGCAGGGGTTAGGACAGCGTCAGCTTCAGCGCGGTGTTGTCCACCCTCCCTGCACCTATCACGTTCTGACAGGCGCCCGCTGTCAAACTTATATCTGCTATAGTCTATCTAGGCTGTAGTGGGGTAGTTCTTAGAGGGTACAACACTTGTGTGTTTCCTACTTGTACCCATCTCATTTCTAGTTCATTCATTCTTTCGTCTATTTCTCTCACATGGTATAGAGCTAGTTTCGAGTTTTTTTTTAAAGGGCCCACCACTGAATTTTTCTTACCTACTCGACGCGCGCGTCGCGCCTGCCCTTCGAGGCCCGTAGCGGCCCCTGCGCCTGCCCTTAGAGCCAGCGCCGGCCCCGTAAGGCCCCGTTTTCAGGCCCCGTAAGGCCCCGTAATGCCCCGTAAGGCCCCTTAAGGCCCCCTTTACGGCCCCGTTTAAGGCCCCGTACGGCCCTGTAAGGCCCCGTAAGGCCCCGTAAGGCCCCGTAAGGCCCCGCTTACGGCCCCGTTTAAGGCCCCATAAGGCCCCGTAAGGCCGCGTAAGGCCCCGTAAGGCCCCGTAAGGCCCCGTAAGGCCCCGTAAGGCCCTGTAAGGCCCCGTTTACAGCCCCGTTTAAGGCCCCGTAAGGCCCCGTAAGGCCCCGTAAGGCCCCTTAAGGCCCCGTAAGGCCCCGTATGGCCCCGTTTACGGCCCCGTTTAAGGCCCAGTAAGGCCCCGTAAGGCCCCGTCAGGCCCCGTTTAAGGCCCCGTAAGGCCCCGTAAGGCCCCGTCGGGCCCCGTTTAAGGCCCCGTTCGGCCCCATAAGGCCCCGTAAGGCCCCGTAAGGCCCTGTAAGGCCCCGTCAGGCTCCGTCAGGCCCCGTTAGAGGCCCCGTCAGGCTCTGTAAGGCCCCGTCAGGCCCCGTTAGAGGCCCCGTCAGGCCCCGTTAGTGGCCCCGTCAGGCCCCGTAAGGCCCCGCCCGGCCCTACCCCAACCTGTCACGGCCCTGCGCCGGCCCTGCTGCGGCCCTGTTGCAGCCCTGCCCTGGCCCTCGCCCCGACCCTGTCTAAGCCTTGCCCCGGCCCTGCTCCTGCACTGCCGCGGCCCGGCCCCGGCCCTACCCCGGACCTGTCGCGGCCTCGCCCCGGCCCTGTCCCGGCCCTGCTCCGACCCTGCCCCGGCCCTGCCCCGGCCCTGCCCCGGCCCTGCTCCGACCCTGCCCCGGCCCTGCTCCGACCCTGCCCCGGCCCTGCCCCGGCCCTGCCCCGGCCCTGCCCCTGACCTGCCCCGGCCCTGCCCCGGCCCTGCCCCGGCTCTGCCCCGTCCCTGCCCCTGCCCTGCTCCTGCACTGTCGCGGCCCTACCCCGGCCCTGCCCCGGCCTCGCCACTGGTAAGCCGCTCCGCCCTGCCGAGCCGCGCCGCCCTGCCTAGCCTGCCCTGCCGAGTTGCACTGCTGCTGCTGCTAGCCTGCTGCTGCTCCTGTCATGGCTAGTCTCAATGTTCTTACCTTTGATGCTGAGGGTCGAGCTGTTGACTTTGAGGTCTGGCTAGATGATCTGCAGCTTTTCCTACAGTGCGATAGCAAGGATGGCCTCTCACTGTTCGATCTCACGTCTGGCGCCTCTACTGCCCCTGCTGCTGATGCTGACAGTACTGTTCGCTCACAGTGGCTCACGCGCGATGCTGCTGCTCGTCTTGCTGTGCGCAATCACATGCCGTCTACTGAGCGCGCGCACTTTAGTCTGTACAAGAGTGCTAGGGCTCTGTACGACGCTGTAGTTGCACGCTACTCCTCCCCTACCACTGCTGCCCTCAGCCGCCTCATGCTGCCGTACCTTTTTCCTGACCTTGCCGCCTTTGCCACAGTTGCTGACCTAGTTGCTCACCTCCGCACTAGTGACGCTCGCTACCGCGCTGCCCTTCCCACTGAGTTTCTTCCCACGAACTCCCCCCCCATGTACATCACCCTTTACTACCTAGTCACCCGCCTCCCTGACTCTCTCTCCTCAGTCAGGGATCACTTCCTCTCCCTTTGCCCCACCGAGCTGACTGTCGACTTGCTAGAGGAGCGCCTTGCTGCAGCTGAGAAGAGTATCTTAGCTGTAGGTGCTTCTCGCGGCGACCGTCGCACCCCCTTCTTTGAGGGGTGTTCCCCTGTCCCCCTTCTCCCCTCTGTTGCCTCTGCTGCTGCTGTCGACCTCGTTGGCACTGAGGAGGTCGGCGCTGCGTCTGCCTCTAGTGGGCGACGCCGCACCGGCAAGGGCAAGGGAAGCAGGGGTGGTGGAGGGGGCGGTGGGGGGAGCGGTGGAGGCGGTGGAGGAGGTGGAGGTGGTGTGGGGGTGGTACAGGGAGTGGGGGAGTCGGTGGCGGCAGTGGAGGCCGTGGCGGCGGTGGCGGAGGGGGTGGAGGCGGCGGCAGCGGTGGTGGAGGTAGCGGAGGAGGTGGTGCTGGGCGCGGTGCAGCCACGCCGCGTGGAGGCCTTGGTGGCAGCCAGCGCCAGCAGCAGCAGCGCACCCGTGAGACCCCGTCGGTTCAGCAGCTTCGTGAGTGGTACGCTGGGCGTGGGAGGTCTGGGGGTGCGGGTCCCTGCTCTTACGTTCTTCGCACCAGCACTCGGAGTGGGGAGGTGTGTGGTCTCCCACACACCACGCAGCGCTGCTTCGGCCGCTTGACTGACGCTTGGCGTGCCCAGTTTCCTGACGCTGTTGAGCTTCCTCGTTGGCATGATCTGCTTCTGCAGAATGTGCCTATCTTTGATCTAGACTTTGATGCTATCCTTGCTGCCATGTATGCTTTTGCTGATATTACTGAGGGT